ATGTCTTCCTTTCTTTTTTCTTTCTTTTCTTTTCTTCTTTCTTTCTTCCTTTTTCTTTTTTCCTCCCTTCCTTCTTTTCTTTCTTTCTCATCTTTCTCTTTTTCTTTCTTTCTTTCTTTCTTTCTTTCTTTCTTTCTTTCTTTCTTTCTTTCTTCCTTCCTTCCTTCCTTCTTTCTTTCTTTCTTTTTCTTTCTCATCTTTCTTTCTTTCTTTCTTTCTTTTCCCATCCTTCTTTTCTTTCTTTCTCTTCTTTCTTTTTTTCCTCCCTTCTATCTTTTTTCTTTCTTCTTCTTTTTCTTTCTTTCTTTCTTTCTTTCTTTCTTTCTTTCTTTCTTTCTTTCTTTTCTTCTTTCTTTCTTCCTTCCTTCTTTTTCCTCCCTTCCTTCTTTTCTTTCTTTCTCTTCTTTCTTTCTTTCTTTCTTTCGCCCTTCCTTCCTTCTTTCCTTCTTTCTTTCTTTCTTTTTCTTTCTTTCTTTTCTTTTTTCCTCCCTTCCTTCTTTCTTTCTTTCTTTCTTTCTTTCTTTCTCTTCTTTCTTTCTTTCTTTCTTTCTTTCTTTCTTTCTTTCTTTTTTCCTCCCTTCTATCATTTTTCTTTCTTTCTTTCTTTCTCCCTTCTTTCTTTCTTTCTTTCTTTCTCCTGTAGGTCCCTGCATTTCCCCGATTATTTTCTTTGCTTTCATTTTCCTCATTATCTACTTTCTGTTAAATCGATTTTACGTCATTCATTTTTCTCCCTCTTAATTATTGTCGACAAGACATCGAGAGTGATGACGATTTGCACAACAATATCTAATGTAGACGTTCAGCCGTCATTTACGAAGCTTTTGTCGCCTGACCCCAATCGATTTTAACAAAAAAGAAAGCCATGCATGCAAGACAATTGCAAAAATCTCACACGCACACTCCACATACATATAAATGTGGATACCAAATATATATATATATATATATATATAATCATCCAGATGAAAACCTGTTTCGCTGTATCACAGCTCATCAGTGTTACTAGATATCCAATTGCTTCTAGCCGGGATCGAAAATCGACCGATCTGACGTCAGCTACCAGCACACGGAAGAGAAAGGAAATATTTTATTGTATTATATACGGGATGTATACAACCAATCAGTAGCCTAGAGCCCTTATGTATTAATTGAAGAGAGATGCTTTTATAGCAGGAGGAGCCACTGTTAAAACTTTTACTTTCTCTATTGTGTCCAATAGACGAACAAGAGCATGTTACTAGACATTTCTAAAAACGAAGCAACTTTTATTTCTGTTATATATATATATATATATATATATATATATATATATATATATATATATATATTACAATTAATCATTCATGCAAAACGTAGACTACTAAAGTTAATGATATAAAATGGCGAAATCTCTTCGCAAACAAAATTTTAAAGTTTGCATTAACCTACGAACCACTCGATGAATGTTATGATCCATGTTTTTAATAACTACAAGTTGTATAAGGTCTTTTTTTTAAAATCTGCAAGTACTTTCAACTCTACATACAGTCATCCTCAGGTATGGAAATTATTTTTTTTTAGTAAAATCCAGGTAACATCAGCGACAAAAAAATTAAATGCGAATCGAAATATGTTTTTTTTTTATAAATGTGTTGTTGTTAACGGATAAAAACTTTTGGAGCGTGCAGTCGCAACGCTATGGTTTGATTTTTTTGAAAATTGAAGCTAGAGCTTTTTTTACTAATATGGTAATTTGAGATTTTTTTTTTTTGCTATAGGAGTTTATCAGTCAATGTGGCATGAACTAAATTGTTCAATAAATAGAGTAATGTCTAAGTTGTTATCCCAAAATTTGCACCTCGGATCAGTTCTTTTAAATCAAATATGTAAATTAAGTAATAAGTAAATTAGTAAAGTTAATGATATAAAATGGCGAATTCCCTTCACAAATAAAATTTTAAAGTTTCATTAACCTACGAATCATTTTACAAATTTACTTTTTGTATGAGTGATTCATTCTAATATAAATTGAACTCCACCGTATATTTGATGTATATATATATATATATATATATATATATATATATATATATATATATATTGTTATGGTCCGGTTCCTTGTACCACGGTGATAGTCCAAGGTTGAACCAATAAAGAAGAACTCAAACACAAGTATGGAATAACACAGTATATTACAAACAGGAATATATACAGAGAAGTAGAAAGTGTTGGTACGAACAATCAGGTTTAGTAGAGAGAACAATGTAGTCTCGACCAGTATCACTATTCAAATGTCTTGTTATAATTGTCTGAACGCGACTCTATTTCGGAGTGCCTCTGACTCGACTCTTGACTCGACTTGAACTACTGACGATATTCAGTCACCCCCCACGAGGGCGTCGTGTGGCACAAGGCTGGTTTTAACGTGGGATCTCCGAGCCTGTGGGCTCGGCCAAAAATATGCCCATTGAACCCGTATAAACGGGTTCAGGGTCGGTTTACCTCCCCGAAAGAGAATCCGCGCTTCGGCGTAGCCTCTGTCAGGTTTCTCCACGCCCGAAGGCAGAGAGTTCAAACGAACAGCCGGTAAGTACTTGAACGACTGACGATATTCAGTCACCCCTCCCCACTGGGGCATCATGTGGCACAAGGCCGGTTTTTTAATGTGGGATCTCCGAGCCCATGGGCTCGGACCAAAAATATGCCCATTGAAGCCGTATAATTTCGATTTAATAAATGCAGCCCTAATTAGAATAAAGACGCTGCAGGATATTTTGAACAATTTTTCATTAAAGTATATCTCGGGCGTATTTTGTATATATATATATATTGATTTTTTTCAGAAGAGATAAGATAGATTCATGAATAATAATAATAATAATAACAATAATAACAATAATAATAATAAGTATAAATAATTCATAATATAATAAGTATTTGTGTGTCTGATTGTGTACGCGTAGGTATAGAGCGTATGTATTGAATGTCGTAATTACTTCTCCTTTTCATCATTTTCTCATCTCCCTATACTCTCTCATATTATTCCTTATTTTTCTGATTTTTTATATATATATATATATATATATATATATATATATATATATATATATATATATATATATATATAAGACTTGAGATCAAATATGGGTCAGCATACGATTGAACGATAGAATAAGGAAAAATAATAAACGTTTATAAATTTAACGTGTTTCGCTACACAGGCGAATCATCTAGAAATGTAAAAGTTCTCATCTACGTATATAAGAGAGGTTTATGTTGGGAGAAGCCTTTGAACTCGTTCGTAACACACAGTAAAAGAAGCAGGCCATAATTTCGATTTAATAAATGCAACCCTAATTAGAATAAAGACGTTGGTTAAATCTAGTGACTTGACCCAAAGAGCTGTGAGTTCAATACCAGGCTATCCATGTGTTGAACCAAAATCTTGGAGAGTTGAACTAAAGGAAACTAACCGAGAACTAAACAGAAGACTCAAATTGGTATTTTGGTCTCAAACTATGACAATGGCATTGGCTGAGCGTTATTATTGCCTTAATATCAAGACTGGCATTATCTTCAAAATGAATCAGAAAGGTTAATTTTCAGTTTATTGTTTCCAAAATATTGGCTTCTAAAACAATGTGATGTTAATTAAAATGAATTTTGACCAGTATCAAAACAATATTAAATAATTTATCATAGCAGATTTGCGCATTTCCAGTTCAATGCTGATTCTTATATAATTTAATGAACAGAATCACGTGATAACAGCTAAATTAAAACTTCGAGAAATACTAATAGCATAACTTATATATGTTTGTTCTATTATCGAGGTTATTGATACTCAGAGAAGAATAGTCGCTTAATATTAATCAACTTACTAATCAACTTATTAATGAACTGCTAAAGTCCTTAATCGTCCTTAACGTTGTGTTTTGATGACAAGCAAATAACGTACGTCTAAATTCGCTACTTTACTATGAATTGTTCTTAAGATAGATAGATAGATAGATAGATAGATAGATAGATAGATAGATAGATAGATAATGAACTGAGATAGATAAATAAATAGATAGATAGATAATGAACTGACTGGGATAGATAGATAGATAGATAGATAGATAGATAGATAGATAGATAGATAATGAACTGATATAGATAGATAGATAAATAGATAGATAGATAATGAACTGACTGAGATAGATAGATAGATAGATAGATAGATAGATAGATAGATAGATAGATAGATAGATAATGAAATGACTGAGATAGATAGATAGATAGATAGATAGATAGATAGATAGATAGATAGATAGATAGATAATGAACTGAGATAGATGGATAGATAATGAACTGACTGAGATAGATAGATAGATAGATAGATAGATAGATAGATAGATAGATAGATAGATAATGAACTGAGCTAGATAGACAAATAAATAGATAGATAGATAATGAACTGACTGGGATAGATAGATAGATAGATAGATAGATAGATAGATAGATAGATAGATAGATAATGAACTGACTGAGATAGATAGATAGATAGATAGATAGATAGATAGATAGATAGATAGATAATGAACTGACTGAGATAGATAGATAGATAGATAGATAGATAGATAGATAGATAGATAGATAGATAATGAACTGAGATAGCTAGCTAGCTAGCTAGATAGATAGATAATGAACTGACTGAGATAGATAGATAGATAGATAGATAGATAGATAATGAACTGAGATAGATAGATAGATAGATAGATAGATAGATAGATAGATAGATAGATAGATAATGAACTGGGATAGATAGATAGATAGATAGATAGATAGATAGATAGATAGATAGATAGATAGATAATGAACTGAGATAGATAGATAGATAGATAGATAGATAGATAGATAGATAGATAGATAGATAGATAGATAGTGTTGTATCGTCGCGGTGAATGATACACAGAGAAGAATCAGTGCTTAATATATTTATTAAGCAATATTACCCGGTGCTATCTGATACATACAAAAAACAAACAAACAAACAAACACACGATAAGTTACAAAACAATTATCAAGACAACTTACAAGGAATAGAAGACGGACAAATGCTTGTATAGCCAAACGAAGTAAAATCATTCCGAATATTAATCAGCTTAGTATCAACTTATTAATAAAATGTTGACATCCTTAATCGTAGGCTATTTACGCCTATGAGCCAGTCCATCTGGTAGAGTGCTGGAGTGCTAGCTACTCTGCAACAGTCTTTCTTTTTGATCATTTATTTTTTTAAAGCAATTAAAGAAGTGAAAGCCCATTGATGGTTTGAAATCCTGCGAGGTGAGATGCTTAACCAATTTAATTAAAGCCTCTAGGTCTTTGAAAAAAGGTGGCCGAAGGTTAGTGAGAACAAGAGCCCCTTCAGAAGCAGATTTCGCACGGACTATTTTTTAAAGCATTTCACCCAAAGCAAAGCGAGAGTGTCTTTAGCACGCATGGGGTTAGAGCGGGAGCAAGAATAAATAGAAAAGAAGGGGTGTTTGAGGAAAGGATAAAGAGAAAGACGAGGATCAAGATCAGAAGATGATATTACATTTAATTGTTTGAAGAATACAGTTATCAGGGAAGCAAGTAAGTGGAAGGGAGTTTCAATGTTGGGAAGTGCGAGAGAAGAAGATGTTGTAGTAGAAGAGGCAGATTTCGCGCATTTCAAGTTTAATGCTGATTCTTATTTAATTTGATGAGTAGAATCACATGGTGTCAATTAC